ATTTGAAAATATTTCAGTAGATTGAAAATGGAGACACATTTTATTCAACAGTTGATGTTTGGAAAAGCAATAAAACCAGAAGAAAGAGTCATAAACTGCCATGAAGCTGCTTTAAGATGGGAAATGTTGTCCAGGTTTATGGCAAATATAAATTCTCTTGAATGAAACATTTATGTTCTTCTGTCTTTGACTTTTGGAGCTCAGAAATTTCCACGTCTTTTCTTGAAAATCTCTACATTTTTGATGTAACTGTACTCTTTTCTTCCAGACGGTGGTCTTGGTACAACGTTGCATCTCTGTTATCAAACTACAAAAATGGCCGACCGGTTTGTATTGTAAGGCTGTTTCCTTCACTTTGAGCTGCAGTGATTATTTTTATTATCCAGCAGCAGAAACAGGATCTGAAGAGATAAATGGTTTTGTGTCAGACAGTTTCTGTCTGTGAATCATTTTGTTTGCTGCTCGTTTTCTCTGGTTTCAGTCGTTGGATTTCTGGTTTTCTCTGCATCTTGTCTTAAATCTCTCCAGTTTGTTGCCTCCAGCTCTCCTCAACACGTCAGCGCTGTCAGATGTTCCAAAGCTGCGTTTGTTCCAATCTTTGTGCAACTTTTTAAACACGATTAAAAAAATAACAGCTGAAGCTCCAGATTCTGATTTTTCTCCAGCAGAATCATCAGAAATCGACTTTCTGAAGATTAAACTGATGATTATTTCACTGCAGCAGGAAAACAAAACCACTGAAGGCTTGTCTGGATGCGAACACTCCAGGTTGATTTCCGGCTCTTCCTCAGAGACGCCAGCCGAGTGCACTTGGCTGTAAATCAGCCTGCAGAGCAGAGCTGGGATTAAATTTGGTCCGTATGCTGTTGAACTGTTGAGCCGTGTTTACCCTGCAGGGCTGCTGGTGGCGCTCTGCTGTCAGAGGAATTACAGTCTGCAGCCAAAACACGGAGCTAAACCTTCTGGTTGCTGTTCATCGACTTGTTATTAACAAATAAAAAGAAAATAAAACAGAACATTTAGTCCTGGAAGTACCAGAAATATCAACATAATTCATATTTCCAGGTTCTCCATCCAGTCCCTGTCCTCCAGAAACAGACAGTCAACAGGAAAAGCAGCTCAATGTTAATTTGAGTGATAAATAACTGATTATAAATGTAAGGCTCAGTTTCAGGTGTTTGTGTTGGAGCGAAGCGAAGCGCCGTCTGGGATTAGCTGAAAGGGATCATGGATTCCTGGTCATGTCTGTGTGAACGCATGGGGCCCCTCCACACGCTAATGAAGCCATTCATTCAGAGTCTGGACTTCAGTTTGAGTCCAACTGAAACTCAACTTCACTCATTTAAAAACAATAACAATAAAAATAAAATTACTGTAATTTGTGGAATAATGTGATTCAGAAACTCTTAGAAATTGTTTCAGGACTCGAGATCAATTTGGACGATAATATAAATAACTATTGATTAGTTTTTGGTTTTAAATACCTGAAATAATAATAATAACCTTTCCTGTTTTATCCAGTTTTCACTTCATGGCGTTATTTTTTATTTTTAAGCAGTTATGAGGCTCAGGGAGGAAACTTTAAACTGCTGCTGCGCAAAAATACTCAGCAGGTTGTTGCTAGGCAACCAGAGTGTGAGAATTAGTAAGTTACTCAGCAGGTTGTTGCTAGGCAACGAGAGTGTGAGAATTAGTAAGTTACTCAGCAGGTTGTTGCTAGGCAACCAGAGTGTGAGAATTAGTAAGTTACTCAGCAGGTTGTTGCTAGGTAACGCTCTCAAAAAGTGAGTTAGTTAGTAGCTAAATAGTTTGTTGCTAGGCAACCAAAGAGTGAGTTAGTTAGTAATTGCTTAGCTCTGTTAGAGGTTGAGTGTCTAAAGTCTTTCCTCTGCCTACATGTCCCAGAATGCTGTGCGGTTCTGGATCACAGTTTATTCTATCAGCTGTATTATCTATTGATATTGATCACATATCTAAACAGATACATGTTATTGATTTATCGTCAGGCTGTGTAAACTTTGTTAGATGTGAGACGGATTAAAATGAAAAAATAACATGTAACTTATTTCCAGTGTTTCCTGCAGAGTCTCTGTGTCGGTGGGACTGTTAGCGTCCTGACCTTTGACCCTGCTGCAGGTGCCTCTGTTTGGGCTCAGTCACTTTCAGAGGAACATCAAACAGAGGATTGTTTTGTTGTTCTGCTGTTTGATGCGATCTGCAGCTGTTCTTCATCTCCTCCAGGTCGTTGGTAACATTTCCAGATAAATTCAGCTCCGTTTTGTTGCCATGACAGTAAAAACTTCCTAACATGAGTCAAAATATTCAGATGAAATAACTGCTTTCCTTTTCTATGAAAACATGACGTCTATCTTTGAACTAAAATGTTCTGGTTGTTTTTACTAGGCTGAGTTTATTTTATTTAATATTTTCCAAATGTGATTATTTTAATAAAAAGCTTCATTTTAACAAGCTGAGATTTGACAGGATTTGAATTGATGCAAACATCAGAATAAAACGTAAAAGTCACATTTCTGATCAGTTATTGCTGTCATAGATATTTAGCTTCCTAGATAAATGACCAGCTAAACTATCTAACTTCCTAAATGTTTACAACCTATTTATTTATTTATCAAATTAATGTTTACAAGCTAAAAGTTTAGCCAGTAAGTTACATACATAATTAGGAAGCTAAATATTTAGTTTGGAGCTAAATGCTAACTGTTTATCCACGACTTGAATAAATGTCAGTTTGTCACAAACAAAGCCCAGAAAAAGATCCGTCTGATTTGGACGTTTGGTAAACATGCTGATGTTCAGCAGGTAAATAATTAAATCTGAATTCAGTCGATACGTTTACACAGAACATTTCTTCTGTTTTTGTCTCTTTACTCTTTCTGCTCCTCCCTCAGGTCTGATATATAATAATAATATTCAGGATGAAGCTTTCAGACACAATGGGTTTAAACACAGTTGGTGTTTTTTGGATTTTTAGGCATTTGGAAGTTTTTCTGTGTCAGACAGAAAGATATGGATGGTTTTTGTAAACATGAATATTTCTGACATGAATGTAAATGATTTAATTTGCATGGACTTGGTGAAACACGCCAGGTCAGTCCACAGACTCACAGCTCCAACACAGATATGTGGTTAATATCTGACATCACCTGCTCTGGGTTCAGATTTCTGACTGAAGTCCAGGAAGGAAAAATATTGTGTGAAATCTTCTGGTTCATTCATATTTGAGCAGCTGGTGGTAAATCATCTGTGGTGGTTTTCAAATATCTGCAGCAGAGAAACAAGGAGGAAACCATGAAACATATTATTATTTATGCATTATGCTGAAACAAAAACAACTACAACACCCAAATAAACAATAACAAGGATAAACTTATTAAAAATGCAAGTAGTTTACATTTATATTAATTTATATGGAGGATGTAAATCATGATTAATTTGTTGCTCCAGGGTTGCAGTGTTTAGCTTTAGCATTAGCTTCGATGTTAGCGTTACCATTGAACTTCTGTTTTTGTTTTTCCATCTGATTTATTTTGTAAAACTTTAAATGTGTTGCTGATTCAACATGATAAACAGAAATAATAGAAAAACTAAACATATTGACGACTTTTTACATAGAAAATACATAAAATTATATGTATAAATTCTAGAAATGCTTGGAAAACCTAAAACTTTCCAGCTGGTTTGACCTGGAGGAACATTTTCTGTTGTTGAAGGCGGATCAGTCTGTGACGTTTTCCATCTGCTTCCTTCACACAGAAACATTTGGTGGAAAAAATCTGCTTTGATTTTTCAGAGCAGATTCCAATTTTCTGAGGATTTTGACTGAATTATTCAACTTTATATTATCGTTTATAAACAGCAACATGTTCCTGTTATATTTGCTTTTTCATAAAAAATGCTCACAAAACGATTTTTCAATCATTCCAGGGGACAGAAAAGGAGCAACCAGAGGATGAATAATAGAAAAACATAATCTGTACCGACACCACAAAGTGTTTACGGTTTGCAAAACATTTATATTTCACAGATAGAAAATAACCGATAAAAACAAAACAAAACGTTTCTATCAGATGTAAAAAAGCATCAGGTGATTCCAACCGAAGCACCAATTTAACTGAATGTCCTCCGTATCATTTGTGCCAACATGTTATTATGATGCTAAGAATAGATTAAATCCCTCTAAATTAAACTTTTGAACATTTCTGTTGTTTCTATGGCAACGGAAAGCTTCCAGTTTGACTAAAACAACAACATTTCCCCCAACATGAACCAGCAAACATCAAAACTATTCAAAGAAATGAAACGTTTTCATGTTTGAATTATGAAAACTCCAGTCAGGATTATTAACAATAAAAAAAAAAATATTTTTATTATTATATACACTAAACATTCTAACTAAACTGAGTTGATGTCGTTTATTTAGACTTTTCAGTTTGAAGAATGAAAGATTAAATCCCAGCTTGGAGTTTGCAGGTTCTCTCTGTGACGGTTTGGGTTTTCTCCTGGTACTCCGGCAGGAATAGAACCAGATTTTAATCCAAACTGGACTTTTAACTTTTAATCTGTGAAGAAAAAGCTCCTCAACTTTTTCTTATATTGTTAACAGAACCGTAAAAATTTAACTTGTTTCTGACTATTTATAGTCTTCAGGCACTCTGCTGTAGCCCTACAAAATAAAAGTATGAGAATAAAGTTTAAAAAAGAGAATAAAGTAAAAATAACAAACAATAAAGTCAAAATAATAAAACAGTGAAGCTTTATGAGAATCAACATAAAATTACAACTTTATTCTTGTTTTATTTTGACTTTATTGTCATAATAGACTTCTTGTATGACTTCATTCCTGAAATATAATATAAATATATATTTAGCTTATAATATTAAATATTAAGACATTTTCTCCTCATAGTTTTATTTTTTATCAGTATTTCTCCTAACGCTCTGATGTAATATAGTTTTGTTTACAAACATAATATAAGTTACAGTCCAACAACAAAACTTTGCATTTTATTGCAGAAACATTTTGTTTCTGTTAATAATTTCTAAATATTTTCTGCTGTAACACTGAACAATCTGCCTGAACAGAAGCTAAAGACGATATTTTATCTTTGACAGGTTAATTTTATGATGAACGTTGATGGCTGACGCCCCGTGGTGCTGAAGGATGAAACCGAGCGCTGAGCTAACAGAGCATTGAGCTAACAGAACGCTGAGCTAATGGAGCCTTAAGCTAACAGAGCGTTGAGCTAACGGAGCATTGAGCTAACAGACCGTTGAGCTAACGGAGCATTGAGCTAACAGAGCGTTGAGCTAACAGAGCGCTGAGCTAACAGAACGCTGGGCTAACAGAACACTGAGCTAACAGAGCGTTGAGCTAATGGAGCGTTGAGCTAATGGAGCGCTGAGCTAACAGAGCATTGAGCTAACGGAGCGCTGAGCTAACGGAGCGCTGAGCTAACAGAGCGTTGAGCTAATGGAGCGCTGAGCTAAAGGAGCGTTGAGCTAACGGAGCGTTGAGCTAACGGAGCGCTGAGCTAACGGAGCGTTGAGCTAACGGAGCGCTGAGCTAAAGGAGCGTTGAGCTAATGGAGCGTTGAGCTAACAGAGCGCTGAGCTAACAGAGCGTTGAGCTAACAGAGCGCTGAGCTAACAGAGCGCTGAGCTAACGGAGCGTTGAGCTAATGGAGCGCTGAGCTAACAGAGCGCTGAGCTAATGGAGCGTTGAGCTAATGGAGCGCTGAGCTAACAGAGCGTTGAGCTAACAGAGCGCTGAGCTAAAGGAGCATTGAGCTAATGGAGCATTGAGCTAACAGAGCGCTGAGCTGATGGAGCGTTGAGGTAATGGAACGCTGAGCTAACAGAGCGCTGAGCTAACAGAGTGTTGAGCTAAAGGAGCATTGAGCTAACAGAACGTTGAGCTAACAGAGCGCTGAGCTAACAGAGCGTTGAGCTAACAGAGTGTTGAGCTAACAGAGCGCTGAGCTAACAGAGCGCTGAGCTAAAGGAGCATTGAGCTAACGGAGCGTTGAACGACCGTTCACAGGGCGGAGTGTTCGAACAGGATGACGGTGGAGCGGCTGGACAGGCTGGACAGCCTGGAGGGCCGGAACGCTCCGATCCGGGAGTAAACGTCCCCGTCTGAACACGCGCCCCAGGACAGGTGGGGGCTGGGCGGCGTGGTGTGGATCAGAGGCAGCGACGGCGGCCGGAGTCCAGGCGGGGGCGCTGCAGGCGGGGTCGGCGGGAGCGGGAGGGAAGGCGGAGGGACGATGGAAGTTATGGTGGTGATGGTCTGGATGGGAGCCGGTTCTTCTGGGAGCGACCCGTTCTTGGTGGGGATCTCCTGGCAGGCGGTGGGCTGCTTCAGCCTGTAGGTGGCGCTGTGGTAGAAGCTGCTGTACTCCAAGGCGTGTCGCGCCCGGGCCAGCCTGAGCCTGGAACCAGAACCAGAACCAGAGACAGATTAACAACATCTATCAATATCAATAGACGCATCTGATAGAATATTCACTGAACTCTGAGTCAGAACCGCACAGCATTCTGGGAGATGTAGGCAGAGGGAAGACTCAACCTCCCCCAGCTAGCTTAACAAGGTGGCTGCTATCAACTAGCTAAATCACTTTTTGGTAGCCAACAACAAGCTGTTTAATAGCCTACTTCCTCTCTCACTGAGCTCCTACCTGTGCCTCAGCTGCAGCAGCCTGTAGAGCAGCAGCAGGATCACGGCTCCAGCCAGCGTCACCAGCAGCAGCGCCACCTGCAGGTCCAGACTCCAGCAGTTCCTCCCAGCCGAGCTGCAGCTCCTTGGAGGTTCTGTTGGCCGCTCCGTCCCCCTGACGGGGCCGGCGCCGACCCGGCTGGGCGGAGGAGGAACCTGGAGGGAGGAGCTGCTGGTGACCAGCTGGCTGAGGCGCATCACTGCCAGGGGCGATCACAGACAGGAAGTGATGTCGTCCGGCTTGAACTCCATCGATTCTCACAGACCTGAAAACGGAAGAGTTCGGTTTGGTCTGAGGTCAAAAGGTCAAGTGATGTTTATCATTAAACTGTCGAGAACTATCAGCAATGATCTGGTTTATTAGTCACTGATCCATGGAGCAGCAATTCTGTTTTAAGATGAGAGAAAAGAAACAACAAAAGAAACAACAAAAGAAACAGCGAGAAAAGAAACGCTGCTGGCGTGACGTGAGCAACAACTGAATCAAATCTGTAACGCCAGCAGGAGTTTTCACAAAACCCAGCTTTTACTTTGGTAGTCAAATTCCTGTTAACAGGAATTCAATTTGCATATTGGCTAAATATTTAGCTCTGAACTAAAGAGTTAAGTTTTTACTGTGAACCTAAATATTTTCATTGAAGCTAAATAATTAGCTAGTTAATCAAATATTTGGCTTTAGGCTAAATAACTAGTTTAAGGTTAAAGAGCTAAGTAGTTAGTCGAAAGCTAAATATCTAGCTTGTTAACTAAATATTAGCTAATGTATCGGTTAACCTATCAGAAGTTTCCAGATCGATGACATCATCATTATCGGGTTTCTCTTTATTTTTTAAAGAGACAGTAGTCATTCTGGATGTAAAGCAGAAATAATTAATCATTAAATATCTGTCATATTCTCTCATTATTGTGTCTTTTAGTAAATAAAAATAATTTTGGTGATTCTAATTTACCTAAAACAAAGAAGTTTTGTCTGATTTTACTTTAAACAGTAAGAAAAAAACCATGGATGTCTTTTTATTCAGTGTATGTAAACTTCTGGTTTCAACTGAATTTGAAATTGTGCAGTTTTACCCAAAATTATTAATAATTCACAGATTTAAATTCATAGTAATCATTTAATTTAACCAACATGTTTCTTCTGACTGGAACAGATTTATGGACTCTGAGGAGGAAGCTGGAGATTAGGGTGATGGCACAGAGGCCTTCCTCAGAGCAACACAGATAAACGGTCATTAGAGAAAACACCCAAAAAAAGTCTGATTATTAAGAAGGATTTCAATTTAGTCAAACTGAACTGAGGCCTGACAGTTTTTCTGATGTAAGTGTGTTAAAGCAAACCTAGTTCCTTGATAAAACCTGAAGCTAACCTCCACGCGTGCGGCGCCTCGACGTTTGGTCTCATATTTCAGTAGAAACTCAGACTCACCTGAACCAGATGTGGCAGTTTTGGGTAAATCCAGGAGAAAACAAGCCGACCGTCGGAGCGGCTCTCCGGCGGGAACAGCAGGAAACGGGCCACTTCCCGAACTCACAATGCCACAAACCTGATTGGAGAGCACTTCCTGTCGCCATGGTTACAGGAAACTGGTCAAGGGAAGCTTCCTCTTCTTACGGACTCAGTGGAGTTTGAAGAAAACATGAAACTGAGCAGCACAATAAGGCAGGAAAGAGAAATACTTTTGTTTTTTCTTCTGGCATTTTGATTTTTCTCCACCAACATAACTTAGAAAAAAACTAATGTAGTTAAATTTACTCAGTTACATTTACCTGAGTAACTTTTTTGGAAAAATCATATTTTTACTTCACTGTACTTTGAGTAATTTTATTTTCAAGAATTTTTTACTTTACTTGAATAAAAATTTGTTGAGGTAGTTTTACTCTTAATTTTTGTTTTCTCTGCCCACCTTTGGTAATTATACTGTTTGTTATTAAGCTTCCATTACATGAACTGAAAATATACAAAAACTCAGCAAAATTGGCAAAAATTTATGTATTTTTAAATACATAAATTGCAATAAAATTGCAAATGAAATGTCTCAACAGCGCCACCTGGCAACATTGAATGCCCTCTGGATTGACCTTACCTTATTGTAAAGTTAAGAAATTTGGTGGAGCTGTCTAACTCCCAAAGATCTACAGGAAACTCTCAGGCATCGACGCTCCACGCCAAACAGGAAGTCGGCCATCTTGGATTGAAGTTCCAATTTTGACCACATTTTGGCCATTTACAGAGAAATGTCCTCCATCTGGTGTTTTAATCTCAATTAGCTTTTTTCTTTTCCTTTTTTAAAGAAATTTGTTTACAGAGACTTCATATTTCATTTAATTTGTTTAGTTTATTTATTTTGGATATTTAAAATGTCTTCCTGTTCCAGAGTTAAATGTTCATCAGAATTTAACGTTTATTGAACTTTTGTTCTTGGGTTATTATTACCATTACATGACTAAAAAATGGTCTCAAAACAACAATATTATCATTTATCTCAATAACTTATGGAACAATTTATCAAATTTGATATGACAGAGCTAATTATGATAAATTTAAGTTAATGATGAGAAATAAAAACATAAATAAACTGACAGTATGATTGTAAATGTCATTTTTGCTATTTGCTCCATAGTTTTTTTTTTCCACAAAAGCATTAGTAAATATCAGTAAATACTGATAATATGATTAAATTCAGTTACACCTTTTGAAGACGCCTGTTGTAAATGGGAATATTTTACACAAACAACATTTATGTTTTCGGCGCCATAAATGCTGAAGTTACCTCAAAAATAACTAATAAATTATTTTTTATCAATCAGTCAATCAAATTTTATTTGTATAGCACATTTCAGCAGCAAGGCATTTCAAAGTGCTCTGCATAACTAAAATAAAAACAGCATGTGACATGGAATAAACAGTGAGAAAGAGAAATAAAAAGAAATTAAAGATAAAGAGATTTAAAATAAATAAATAAATAAATAAAAGCATGAAATATCACGATTAAATTCGGTGTCCGTATCGCCCGGCTCTGCTGGAAACCCAGATTTTCAGGTTCTGGCCAGCAGAAGGGCAGATCGTCTCCAGGTTTGTAAATGAGACCGTTTGGAGCAGCAGCAGCTGTTTATCAGCGGCGGCTCCTGATGCAGAGATGGAGGAGGGCGTGAAAGGCGGCGCTATCTGATGGAGCCGCATTCAGAGGAACCGAAGAGGCCCGGCCCGACTCAAGTCCGGATCCATTTATCTGTCTAATGAGCTCTGATGCCGGGCCAAGCTGGGAAGAGAACCTCTGATATTACAGAGAAATATTAAAGATCTGCTATCGGCTGGCGGCTCAGCAGCGATCCAAGAGGAAAAGAAGGATTTTAAACACAAAGATGATCAGAAGATCCTCTGATTTAAATACTGCATTAATATAATAACAATAATAATAATAATAATAATAATAATAATAAGATACGCAGGAATAATTTAGAGCAATTCTGTTTGACAGTTTCAGAATAACAATAAAATATAAAATAAACTCTTATTTTATTCCATCAGCTACAATTTAACATAAATATGATTAAATTAAAGTTGAACTCTGTCAATTAAAAATCAATTATTAGTATCAAACGGTCTTGTTTTGTTTTTAATTGTATCTAATTCATTTATTTTTATTATTTAAATCTGATTCCAATTAGGAAAAATAATGAGGAAGGTAAGTTTTCAGACTAAATTTAATCAATTTTAATTAGACAGATTTAATCAGAGTGAACTACAGACAGATGGATGGATGGTGGAAGTGGACTACAGAGCAGGGCATTCTGGGTAAATACAACCAAACAAACGTGTTAGCCTAGCGCTAGCAGGAGAAATGGCTCAGTTTTTCACCAAAGACCAGAGAGAAATCCTCCAGACGCTAAAATCTGACGTTACTCCAGTTTTGATTCCATTTCCTGAAGAAGGAAGCTGCTCTCAATGTCTTCTTTGGAGGTTTTTGTGTTGTTTCCTTCAGTTGTTCTTGGTGCAGCGCCCCCACAGGCGAGGAGGGGAACAGCTTTTTAAACAGTTTGACTCAGTTCAGAGTGAAAGAGAACCTGAGATTTGTAAGAAATGTAAGAAACTGGATTCCTGCTTTCCTACAGACACATTTTAAAGTGCAGCAGTGAGGATGGGAGCCGCCATGCTGAAACCGGTTGCCATGTTGGAGGGACGATAAATGCTGAAGCCGGTTGCCATGTTGGAGGGACGATAAATGCTGAAGTCGGTTGCCATGTTGGAGGGACGATAAATGCTGAAGCTGGTTGCCATGTTGGAGGGACGATAAATGCTGAAGCCGGTTGCCATGTTGGAGGGACGATAAATGCTGAAACCGGTTGCCAGGTTGGAGGGACGATAAATGCTGAAGCCGGTTGCCATGTTGGAGGGACGATAAATGCTGAAGCCGGTTGCCATGTTGGAGGGACGATAAGCACTACGGCTGATGAGAGCTGATGATAATCACAGAGCTGGAGACGATGGTTATGATAACGACGCCTCAGGATGTCTCAATGAAATCCTGGTGATGATATTAATGATGACATTATGGAGGGAAACCTGTAAATGTATCTTTCTGCTGTTCCTGATCAAACAGATTTTTTTCATCTCATTTTGTGACTAAGCAGAGCTAAAAGCTGCTGAGAGCTCTTTGGCTGTGAACCCACACGGCTAAATCTCAGAGTGCCAATCACACGAGACGGAGCGAGTGGGAGTTTGTCTTTTCACATCATGAGGCTAAACATTCGTCTAATTTCAGTTTTAGGGAGCAAATAATAAAGTTTGCAAAACATATTTGAAGATCAGAGGTTTGTTTTTAAATGCTGATGGTTGAGACGTAAAATATGACAGAATATAAGAGCCATGCAGGATCGTTTTATTACAAGGATAAAGTCGTAATAATATGAGAATAAAGTTATATTACATTAAAAACTCATATTATTACGACTTTACTGACATATTATCTCAACTTTATTCATGAATTACATCTTTATTCTCATAATTTTATGACATTATTCTCATAATGTTTTTTTTATTTTACTCTGTTGTATTCAAACAGGCTAGGCTAATCTGTAGCATGTTAGGCTAATTTGTTTGGCAGGCTAATGCTAGCTTAGATTAGCCTAGACTTTTTAGACAGAGAAGAATCAGAACTAATTTTCTTCTTTGTTGCTAATCTTGCTAACAGGCTAACTGCAGCCTTTTGTTGTAAAGCCAGTGAATCCACTGTGAATATTTTCTGACGCTTCATAACAGGTCTGTGTTATTTTTGTTTACAAAGTTCATAATTCATTTTATCTGTTGTTTGTGTTGTTTTATTTATTTATTTTAGACATTCAAAATGTTCCAGTGTTAAAAGTTCATGAGAATTTAAAGTTTATTGGTCTTAATGATGTGTTTTTTCATTATTATACCTTTATATTACAACAAAATGGTCTCAAAACAACAATATAATCGTTTATCATAATAACTACCATCCAGTTATAATTGTTTTAACAACAGACCCAAATGTTTCATTTATTAGACAGTTTTGAGTCATTTTTCTTTGTAACTTGTATGAAAACGTAAATTTGGTCAAATCTCGTCTTGTTTTATAAGTTACAGTAAACAGATAATCTGCACATCAAAAAAAGCTCTAATTGTTTAATTGTCCAGCAAAGTGTTGATATTAACGGCTCATCGCCTCCCGGTGGTCGTCCTGCTGCCGGTTCCCGTCAGCGGCGGGTCGGTGGCGTCCTGGTGGCGATCTGAGCTCAGACGTGTGTCTGTGGCCTCAGGCGCCGCGCTGTCAGATCAGCTTTCCACGGCAGACAGCACAAGGTCATCAGATGACGACCCTGAGCCGGGGCTGCCCCGCAGTCCTTCAGCTGCCACATTCATTTCCAGTCAGCCGCCGCGGCGCTCAGCTCTCACGCTCAGATCGACTCTCAGCTCCGTATCGTTGTGCTTACAGCACGACGCCGTGACGTTCGGGGAAATTAGACGTCTGGCTGTCGTGGTGATGCTAAGATACTGACATCATTATGTTGGTGCTTCAGTGTGGAAGTGCATCCATGTTTGAACTTTAAAGCTGTTACATTTCTGGACCAGGAGGAAAGCGGAATGTTTCTGACCAAAACCGATTTTATTCCAAGTGAAGCACTGATTGATTATTTCTGTTTTATCAATCTTTTGCTAATTTATCTGCTTGTTTTTGTCACTTTGGGTAAGAGAGAGAGTTTAAATAAATTAAAGCAAAACAATGACTCACTTTAAACAGGTTAGGGTAAGTCTATGGCCTATACAAAACATGATCATTACATTTTTTATATAAAATCACTCTTAGATAATGAGATTTTATGGCCTCTTGTCAATTTAAATCTAAATAATCTGCTGCTGGCCACGTCCCCCAACTCAGCGTTTGCAGGTAAAAATCTCTGCAGACAGATTCTCAATTATACAACCATACATCTTTGAAAAGCAGAAGTGGAGCCTCCTGCAAGAATGCAGCAAGTGGTTTCTGGGTGGC